GCCAGATACTGGCTGGGGTGTTAAGAATGCCAGATCAGACTAGTGCAGGCAATGGCAGTTGCAGCTGCCCTGGTGAGAAAGTAAGTCAGTGGGACTGGGAGCAGAGCCTATGGAGTGTAGTGGGTTGGTGTGGATGCCCCGGAGGTCCCCCAGAGGGGACCCTCCCCCCAGAGGAGGCCTGATTTTTTACTCCCTAGGCTGCCTTAGGGACCATTCTTCATCCACCAGATACTTACGAAGGTTTCATTATAAAAACACAGTGAAATACCTTAGACAACTTCTTAGAGCCATAAGAAAGGGCCCCAAATGCAGATGGCAGCAGAAAAAAAAAAAATGCCCCCGTCTACTGGCCAGGATCTCCAAGCACCTCCTATGTGCTGAATGTCTGTGTGCTGAGGGTCTTAACATGTAGCTCTTGCTGTCCTAAAGGAGAAGTTACTTGGCTCAGAGAGGCAGATTCTCTCACAAGGCCACGCAACAGAACCAGGGTTTGCAGCTGGTCCAGCTGACCACAAGGCCTTTGTGCTTCACATTAACCTTGGGGAGGACCAGGCGCATTCCCCCAGGTGGCCCCAGGAGGAATAACTTTCCAGGTAGGAGGGATGGCAGAATAAGGGCTTGGCATTGAGAGGCCAGTGTAAGGGACAACATGTGGCTGAATCACCTGGTAAGGACAGGCTAGGGCTTAGGGCCCATCTCAGCAGCAGCTGACAGCCAGGTCACCGCCAGTCCCTCCTAGGGGCTGGGCCAAGGGTCAGGCCATCATCTGCCTTTGCATCCCCTGCTTGCTCCTGGGGCTGTGGGGTTGTCTTTGAGGCTTGCAACAGGCAGTGGGCAGGGCAGATGTGGGTGAGCCTGGAACCTCAGAACTGTGGAGAACAATGAAAAGCAAAGAGATCAGCCAGGGAAGGTAGGGGTGACAACACGAAGCACCCAGAGGGCACAAAAGGTTTCTTGTTAGGCATGAAGGAGGAGAATCGAGTCCAGCGGGAAGAGGGGCCTGATAGCCATCACTGCCCCAGAGGAGAGGCCAGACCTGCTGGGTGCTCCCCAGGACCGAGGCCAGCCCCTCAGCTGCCCATGCCCATCTGTCTAACTCCCCTGCCCTGGGCTCTCAGGCCTACCCTGACATGAAGGAGGATGGACCAAGGGAGGGATCTCCACAGATGGCATGGGAATCATGCACCTGGCACAGACCCTGCACCCCTCCTCTCTGCCCAGAGGGAAGCCACCTGCGAACCTCCCCTGAAGGCAAGTGCACCTGGGCAGGGAGGAGGCAGGACTTCCCAGTCCCCTGACCCTGTCCAGTCGCACCCCTCTCCCTTTGCTTTATTCCCAGAACTACAGGGCAGTCATTGTGCCTCAGGCAGGATGACCTTGGTGCTTGGTGACTTCACTGTAAACTGACTTCCCTGAAGAGTGGTGGAGGATGGGGGCAGGGCTGGGAATAGGCTCGGCCCGGACTCCTTGCTGCGTACCCCTACCCCTTACCCCACTCCTGATCCCTACATTCTCTTACCGGGGCTTATTTTTTTCCTGGCCAAGAATGGGGGTACACCCCTTCAGGGAGGCACCATCTCAGCCTTGGGGGTGGCCATGGAGCTTGGGCTGGGACCCCAATTCTAACAACCTTGGGGGTGGCCATGGAGCTTGGGCTGAGACCTCACTTCTAGCAGCCTTGGCGTGGGGGCTGGAATGGAGGTAGATGATCCAAGCAGAGGCCAGTGGGGGCCAAACAGGATGTCAAAGGGCCCTGGGGCTCCAGCTGTCCCCTGTCCATTCTGAGGCACAGAGGTACTTCCTGTAGCACCTGTAGCTTTCTAGGGAAGGCCCTGCCTGCTCCTATGGGGCAGGAACTCTCCTCGAAGAAGGGATTGAGCAGAAAAAACAAAGGCATCTCTGTGCCTCCCCCACCCCCAGGGCATGGTCAGGTCAAGGTGACCTCATCCTGCTCTCCCAAGCCAAGAGGCATCGGCAGGACCTTCTTGGGTAACCTGGTCTCCAAGGACAAGGGAGAATAGGGACTTGAGATCATTCTTCCCACCCTCCATACCTCCACGTCACACAGTCCCACAGTGCCACAGTGGCAAGGGAACAGGGCTGCAACATTCCATACCAGGGAACAATCATAGGCCAGCCAGGGGAACGAGATGCTGCAGGTGTGAGGCAGAGAGGCCTGGCAACTGGGGCCCTGATGCCAGTTGTGCACGGACTGGCCAGATGGCTTGGTCAAGCCTCTTTCCTTGACCAATCCAAAAGTGCAACTCTGGCCCTGCCTGATGCCAAGGCTGGTGCAAACCTCAATGGAGTTGGAGAGCACAGCCATGTTTGTACAACAATGCAGCTCCGGGTATGCGACTCGTGTGCTCCCACAGTCTGTGCCGAAGACAAGTATTCCTGATACAATACAGTCATTCTTCCTTTAGGGAATGTATTCCTTTGAGGTTTTAAAAGGATCCTTCTCTCCTCCTCCTCCTCCTCACTGTCCCCCCACACACACATTGTTGCAATTTGGAAATGGGGGTGAAGGTCCACTGGGGGCAGGGAAGCCAGTTGAGGGCCCCAGCTCAGTCCAGACCACAGGTAGCTTCTGGTCTTTGGGAACCCCCTCCCCTGGACTTCAGTTTTCTCTTCTATAGCCGGGTCCCCTCAAACCACTAGGTGCTTTGTGGTGGGAAATAGCAGAGACCAAACCAGGGGACTGAAAGCAAAAAGAAACCCCAAATTTGACATTTCCGGGTACGGAGTGCCGACCACAATCACCTCTGCCCCCAACCCACCTCTGACACCCTTCCCTCCTGCCTGGCCTGGGTTGGCCTTTACCCATCCAGGGAGAGCTCCCAAGCTCCTCCCTCCTGCTGTATTTCCAGGAGAGGACCAAACAAAGACCCAGAGAAAGAGAGAGACCAGACAAGGGAAGGGAGGAAGCAGTCAGTAGAATCTAAGAGGCTGGGAGCCTGACAGGTGAGGCTGGCCAGGGCGCCTGGATGCCAGGCAGAGGCTGGGACCCCTGAGGGTTCTGCAGACACTCGCTCATGTCCTTTTGGGGGCATCCCTTCTGATTCTGCTTGCTTGCACCTCGGTGCCACCTTTTTAGGATCTGGGTCTCCCATATCCTCACCAAACTCAACTTTGTCAGATGTTTGCTAGGTGGGGCTGTCAGCTGGAGCAACAGGCCCTGGAGGAGGAGCTGCCAGGAAGTGTGTAGGCAGGGTCCCCACACTTCATGGGGTACTCCCACAATGCTCTCTCCCAGGTGCCCACACATGAGTGCTTCTAGGTCTCACTTGGAGGCCTTGGACATCCAGGGACCCACCCTGTTCCCCATCCTCTGACCTCCACAGCTGCTTGTAGGACAAGGCTGCAGGCCACAGATCCCCAGGGGTGTTCACCCACTGGGTGCCAATGGCTTTGGATCTGCCCCTGACAGGCTGTATAACACTGGCTAAGTTAACTTCCCCTCTGCGGCCTTCATCTCCCTGTTTGGAAAATCATCTTCACGGTCTAACACTTGACTCTTATTCCAGGTGACAGCTGCCTCCCTCCTGATGCCTCCACGTTGCCCAGTTCTGTGTGTCTGCACTTCCCCTGGGAAATCCACTGCTCAAAACAGTTGCTGCTTTCTGGTCCTCAGAGCTTCCCCAACTCTGCCCCGTGTGGAACATCTGGGAAGCAAGGCTTCCCCCAGTCCTCCCCACACCCGCTGGATTTTCAATTCCTTTCCTTGTGATTCTGCCAGCCAAGACGCTCTGACCACACGTGGAAGGTGGGGAGAGTCCAGACATTGCAACTTCTGCAGAAAAACTTGAGATTTTCTGTGAACTGAACCTAATAAAACTGGGAGAGGGAGTGAGGGGCAAGAAGTCCAGGGAGGGGCTGGAAGGTAGTAGAAACAGGGCATGGAGAGAAAAGGGTAGATCCAACTGGGTGGGAAGAAGAGGAGGCAGGTGGGCAGCACTGCCCCAGGACACGTGGCTGGCAGGCAGGAGTGGGCAGCCAGGCCGCCCCCTCCTCCAGTGCTGCCAATACCAGCTGCCAGGCATAGGGGAGGCCCAGAGGGGAGGGAAACCAGGCAAAGGGGATGGAAGGCTTCCAAGCCAGCCTTACCCAACCCCTGGGGCCTTGTGTGCGAGGACATTGGAGGGGAGGGGACTGTGACCCCGGGAAGGCCCCCAGAAGGATGCCTGTGGCTGCAGCTGTGGGACTCTGAGGCTCCAAAAACAGACTTCCTCCAGCCCTTTCTGAAAGCACAGCCTGGTAGGAGGTGAATGGGGGCACCAGGGATTCCGGTGTGCTGCCTGCGCTGTACCCTCCTTCCTCCAGACTTCCATTCACCTGCAGGTCCTGTGCACTGGAGAGGACAAACATCGGCCTGCCACGGTTCTTTCCCCGCCAGCTGGGTGGTGGGAGTAATGAGAGGGAGGGCAGAGGGGAGCTTGGCTTCGCTGGAATCCCCCCACCCCCGGGTCCTTTCCCTTGCTAAGGCTTGGCCGCTGAGGTCGCAAAAAACGGTGGCGCCAACCCACATCATGTCTCTCTCTTTCTCCATCCTCTAACTAAGCTGACCTACGCCAGAGTGAGGAGGCATCTCCAGTCAGCCCACCCTTCTCTCCTCCCCTTTCACGGTTGAGAAAACTGAGCCCTTGCTTTGGGGTTTCCAGGGTCCCGGGATTTCCCGGTCCTGCGCCTCTGGCCAGACACAGTCCCGGGACGCTCCCGCGGGGCTCAGGAGAGGCTACCTGGGACTCCCGGGGGACCCCGCCGTCGGGGCGTGGGGATAGGAGGTGGGGGACAGCCCCGACGCCCGGCGCCGCCCCGCCCAGCCGGGTCGCGCGGGCTCGGCCAGGCCGCTGCTGCGCACTCGCTGGGGAGCTGGCTGCCGAGGGCGGAGGCAGGGGAGGCCGCACCAGCGGCGGGGAGGGTGTTGGCGAGCGCCCGCGCTCTGTGTTTGGTCTAGCGCAGGCAGCTGACCTTTGAGGAGGAAATCGCTGCTCTTGGCTCCTTCCTGTAGTAACAGCCGCCGCCGCCGCCACCGGGAGCCCGGGCCCTCCAGCGAGAGCCGCGGGGCGCACAGCCTGCGCCGACACCGCGCTTGGCGTTACCAGGTGGGGAGCGCGCGACGGGACTTGGGGAGCGCGCGCCGGGACAGGGGCTCCTGGACCGACACTTCCGGCAGCCCGATGGCCCGTCGCGCTGCAGGGACCGGTCCCCGGCGCCCAGAGGGAGCTGGGACGCCGCTGGCAGAGCCGACACATGGGTAGAGGGTCGAGGGGACCGGGCAGAAAGGGAGGCGGTCACAGGTGGGGGCCGGTGTCGCTCGCAGACGCGGGGGCGCCGTCGGGAGGGAACGCAGTTTCGGGGTGCCGCGGCACCTAAGCTCCGTCTCCCTAAGCCCAGCCACGTGCCCAGGGTCGGGCGTCGAGTGGGAATGGCACTGCCTTGACCCAACTATGGTTTGAAACATCTCCCTCCCCAGTCCTCCAACACGGGGAGTCGGGGTTCGGGGCACGCGCTGAGGGAGGGATCCGAGCAGCCCTTGCAGAGCGCTGAGGGCCTCCCTGGGCAGTTAAGTTTCTCTTTCAGTTTCCCGTGGGGCGAGGGGAGAGGAAGAGGGAGGGCACCTGCCTTTTGAGACCCCCCACCCCACCCTGCCCCAGCCTCAGTGGGTTCCTTGTGGGAGAGGAAGGGCGGCACGCCCCTCCTCACCATCTCTCTCTTCCCGCACAGGAAAGCGTGTCTGTGGGAGGGGCCGGGCCTGACCCGACTCCGGGTGCAGGGATGGGTGGGCACCGTGGGGCTCCACCTCTTCAGCCCTGGGCTCATCCTAGGTGACCGGCTATGGCGGGCTGGATCCAGGCCCAGCAGTTGCAGGGGGACGCACTGCGCCAGATGCAGGTGCTCTATGGCCAGCACTTCCCCATCGAGGTGCGGCATTACCTGGCGCAGTGGATCGAGAGTCAGCCGTGGTAGGTGCACCGGGCTTCCAACCCGCAACCGCAGGGACGGGTTTCCCTCTGCGCTCCCCCCGCCCCAGGTCTCCTCCTTGTGGTTTGGCGTGACTCTGATCCTCTCTTTCCTTCTCTGTGCGGAAGGGGTGGGGTCCCTGGGAAACGGGAACCGGGAAATGCGGGGGGCGGGGTGCTGGAAGGGGAGAGAGAAGGCCTGTGGTCCCCCCTCCCCCGTGGGCTCGGGAAAGTGCACTGGGTTCTCATCATGGGATTGCCACTGCACTCTTGGTGCCTGACCTCCTGGCTTAGGGAATTGCAACAGTGGACTCCTGTCTCCCCTCTTCCCACCCCCCCCCCCGTCCTGCCCCCAGGGATGCCATTGACCTGGACAGCCCCCAGGACCGAGCTCAGGCCACCCAGCTCCTAGAGGGCCTGGTGCAGGAGCTGCAGAAGAAGGCTGAGCACCAAGTGGGGGAAGATGGCTTTCTTCTGAAGATCAAGTTGGGCCACTATGCCACCCAGCTGCAGGTGGGTGTGAACTCCAGGACACCTTGGGGCGGGGGGGGGGGGGGGGGGGGGGGTGGAGAGGGCATGTGGCTAAACCCCCAGGGTTTTTTTTTTCCTGGCCTGGCCACTGACTCACCAGTGTCATCATGAGCCCACTCACTTGCTTGGTGGCAACTTTACTTCAATTTCCCCCGCCCCCTCTTTCTAAGTCAGAGCTACTAGATTCCTTTAACCTACTACAGAGCAAGGGATGGGATAGGGGGTGGGGGTTTTTGTTTCCTGCAGAGGGGAGGTGGGTGAGCCAGCATCATGGACAGACTGAGCAGGTGGAGAGGTGGTAAACTGAGGCTGGCTTCTTTTCCAGAAGAAAAGGAGACTGATCTATTCTAGAAATGAGGGGACAAGTCAGCCAGAAGCCCCTCTTGGGGACCCTGATAAAAGTGGTAGAGCCGTTGGAGGGGTGGCAGGGAGGAGGGGCTGGCTGGCATGGCTTTGTAGGATGTGGCTTCTCCTTTGTGTGGTGTGGAGTTGGTGGGGGGTAGTGGAGGAAGCCAGGAGCTGTTATGAAGCAGGAAAGGGGTGTGGGTGTAATCACGGTTAAGGGTTAATTGGAATTCAGTTGGGTTTCTTAGAGAGCCCTTCTCAACCACAGACAGCAGGGATCAGGTAAAGCAAAGCCCACCCAGAAAAGAGGGTGGATCCGGGAGGAACCTGGGATGGTGGGACGAGTATGGGCAGGGTTCTGGTGGAAAGCGTCTTGGCCTCAGCATCAGCTGCGTGTGGCTTGAATCACCAGCCCCACTCACTTGTTTGACACCCGTGTTCCTCTGGGTGCTGTGCTGGCCTCCGCGGTGGGGGTTTTCCACGCTGGGAGAGCCAAGGGGCAGGGTGGATTGAAGTGCTCTGTAGATGGTAGGTTTTGAGTTCACCGCAAACCAAGTGTGAAGGGAGGGGAGGAACAGTTAAGGAGAGGGAGGAACATCTGACAATGGCTCCTGAAGCTTCCTGGGAAAACGCTGAAGGAGAGGAAGGGCTGTGTGCGGGATGAAGCCAGGCATGGCTGCAATTGAAGAACACACTGCGGGATTCTTCCAGAACACGTATGACCGCTGTCCCATGGAACTGGTACGCTGCATCCGGCACATTCTGTACAATGAACAGAGGCTGGTCCAGGAGGCCAACAACGTGAGTGTCCCGTGGGGGTGGGGAGAGAATTGGGCGGTCCTTTTCTGGGGCTTTCTCCCTGGACATGGCTGCATCCATGTTAAACAGTGCTGCCGGAGACGCAAGCAAACGTGAGAGGCAGTGTTCTGAGTCAGTGTGGGGTGATGGCGCAGGCTCCACCCATCACCCTCCCTCTCATGAGCTGTGGGACGTCAGCATGTTACCATCCCTCTCCGAGCCTCCATTTTTCTATTGTGAAATGGGACTACTAATAATACCTGTGCTATTGGGCTAGTGTGACAGTTCACTGGCACTGTGCACCAAGGGTTAATGCACATACGTGCACATACACACACGGTTGTGTGCATATCACACACCCCACATACATACATACACTCACATGTGCACCACCCCACATACATACATACACTCACATGTGCACCACCCCACATACATACACTCACATGTGCACCACCCCACATACATACATACACTCACATGTGCACCCACCCCACATACATGCACATGCACACACCCCTGTGTACACATGTATACACACACACATTGGTGGAAACTCGACCTGTGTCAGAGGTGCCGTTACAAATCAGCAGGGAAGACTGGATTTTCATTGAGCAGCCTAACCGCAGACTGGGGGCGTCTGTGTGAAGGGGAGGAGCTGAGGCCTGGGGGAAGAGAACCAACCCAGGGCAGCGTGGAGAAGTGAGGCCCACAGAGGGGGAAACCAGGACTCCTCTCAAACTACAAGTTCAAAGGCATTAAAAAAAAAAGGTTTATTTTTATTGGAGAGGCACATGCATAGAAAGATCTCCTATCCACTGCTTTACTGCCCAAATGGCTGCAACAGCTGGAGCTGAGCCAATCTGAAGTCAGGAGCCAGGAGCCTCTTCCAAGTCTCCCATACAGGTGCAGAGTCCCAAGGCTTTGAGCTGTCCTCTGCTGCTTTCTCAGGCCTTGAGAAGGGAGCTAGACTGAGAGTGGCGCAGCCAGAACATGAACTGGAACCCGTATGGGATGCTGGCACTACAAGTGGAGGATTGTCCTGTTACACCACTGCACCAACCTTGCAAAAATAATTTTTGAAAACAGCATGTATATTTTTAAAGTTTTATATGTATTTATTCAAAATGCAGAATTAAAAAGTCTTCCATTGCTGGTTTGTTCCCCAATATGACTACAGTAATCAGGCTACAATAATTGGCTGTGCTGAGCTAAAGCTGGGAGCCAGAAACTTCTTGCAGGTCTCACGACATGGTTGACTTCCCGTGTGCATTACACAGAGCTGTCTTGAAAGTGCAACACTGGAACTTGAACCCATGCTCTGATACGGAGAACTGGCAGTGCAGGGCAGTAGCCTAGCTCTCTGCCCCACAATGCCAGCCTTCATATAATAAAGGCATAGGACAATGTTCTAAATGCATTATCTGCAGTAAAGTAAAGTGAATGTCACACTGCATAAAGAATTTGGATTAGGACCTGAAGCACTTCACAGTCCCTTAGGAAACGTTTATTGAAGTCCTACTGTGTGTCTGACCCTGGGCTGGGATTGGAGAAGGAGGTAAAAGCCCGGTTCCTCCCAAGGGAGGGCAGGGCATGGACAAATTCCCCAGAGGGGAGCTCAGTGCTCAGGGGGCACGGGCCGAGGACAGGGTGTCCGACCCCCAGTGGGGAAGGAAGTGAGGAAAGAGAGGGGATGAATCCCCCTGCCAAAAAAAAAAAAGAAATGTGGCAACATGTGCAGGGGCTGCAAAGCCCAAGTGTCTTGCCACCTGGGTGAGCTTGCAAGTCATTAGTGTCCCTGGGGAGAAGGGAGCCAGGTGGGCCAGGACAGTAGGTAAGGCTGAGACGGGATAGAAGCTGGGTCCCAACAGACCTTCTCCCTTGACCCCGCATCCCCTGCCTTGTGGCAGCCACAGAACACCATGTGACTCTGCATGTGAATCCAGCTCTGGTCTGGGGATGTGTGTTGTCATGGTCACGGGGTCACGCCTTTCCCCAGCAGACAGGCTCTTCATGAGCCACCTCTGATGTTCCAGCTTCTGTGGGACGTGATAGGGGGAGGGCCAGAACCTGGGGACCCCACATCCTCTTGCAAGAGATACCAAAAACCAGAAGAGCAACAAGAGTAAGACACGTGCACCTGAGAGCAGGATCAGAGTGAGTTTGCTTATCCGACAAGGCCCCTTCTGGGGAAGTGGGGCCAGAATGTTCTCGACAGACAGGCATGTGCAAAGGCCCTGATCTGGGAACATGCTAATGTGTTCAAGGAGTGGAGATTGAAAGCAGGACCAGCTGCTGTGCTCTGGCAGAGCATGGAGGGAGGACAGCAGAGGCATGGAGGAGTCATCTGAAATAGAGATTTCTATTATGGCTGTGTCACCTGTCACTCCTCCCTCTGTCCCCCTGCTGGGACATGGCCCTCCCTCCTTAGCTTAGATGTGAAGCCTGGGGAGCATGGTGGGTAGCCTGGAGGCTTTCCTCTCCATTTGTCCCCCTACTCTTTGGCATACCGCTCCTTGTCATTTCCCCCCATCCTGCCTACAGGGCGGCTCTCCTGCTGGGACCCTGGTGGACGCCATGTCCCAGAAGCACCTGCAGATCACTCAGACATTTGAGGAGCTGCGGCTGGTCACACAGGACACAGAGAATGAGCTGAAGAAACTGCAGCAGACTCAGGAGTACTTCATTATCCAGTATCAGGAGAGCCTGAGGATCCAAGGTGGGCCCAGCACCTGTCCCCAGTGAGGGTGGGTGGCATCTCAGGAGCTCCTGCAAAGCAGTGTCACTCTCCACAACACTCCACTGAGAGCCTGATGGGAGAGCTGCTCTGCCTCCTGCATGCAGGGAGATGACCTTGAGGCACTGGTGGGGGTGGCAGTGGAGGGGGGCCAGAGAGAGCTGCATTATCCCTACATTGCACACGATGAAACTGAGGTTCAAGAAGCACAAGTAACTTGGCCCAGGTTCCTATGGGTTGCAGAACTAGCTGCCAAGCTGTGAGTTTAAATTCCTGTGCTTTGTTAACCATGGCCTCTTCCTAACTGTGGGTATTCAAGGAATACCTTAATATGTCACTCAGCAGGAGCATGGTGTTCCCCAACAAGAGGGAGGATTTGGGCTGGGCTTCGCCAGGTTGTAACACGCTGAGAAGAGAGGGAACTCCAGGAACCCCACTTCCTTGGCCTCACAGAACGTAGACCTAAGGGGTGACTGTTCCAAAGTTTCCTGTCTCCTGGAACTGTGTGTGGCCAGTGGCTGCCACCGTCAGGGCGTGAGGGAGGGAAAAAGGGAGCCCTGAGGGAATCCTACTCAGGTGTAACCCAAGGAGTCTCGAGACACGGTCCATCTCCCTTCACTCCAGCCTGACTCCTGGGATGTGCCACCTTGTCCTGGGAACAGCAGGATGTGTTGAACTACTTGTGCCTTTCCTCTTTGACTTTCTGACTCCTCCTTTCAAACATGTAAGCCTATACAGCAGGGTCTTAAAAAGTTCATGAAAGATACATAGCATGAAAAAACTATGTATGGATTTCCATTTTCTTACACCAAAATAAGTTTATAATTTTGTTCTTTCACAAACTTTAAGTACCCTTACACATGTATATGTGTGTATATATGATGTGTATGTATATATATATTCATTTATTTAAAGCTATAAATGTACCTCTAAGCATTGTTTTAACTACATGCCATAATTTTGGTTATGCTGTACAAGCATTATCCACTGTGAAATATTTCTGATTCCTCCAGTGAGTAATTATTGAATTCATATATTACTTAGAAACATTTTCTTTAATTTCCAACTATTTTTTTTAACTATATCATCTTGTTATTCTACTGTGATTGCATTCTGTATGATTTCAGTGCTTATAAATGTCCTGAGACTTCTTTGATGGTTTAGGATATATTCTGTCTCAGTGGATGCATCTTATGCATTTGGAAAGAGTGCAAACTCTATGGTCATTTCATTAAAATTGATAATGATCAATTTAGTAATGTTAATATGAAAGGTAAAATTTTATAAAAAACCTTGTTTTCTAAACAAAATTTAGTGGGTAGAAGGGCATTGTTTTACAAACAATCACGCACTGTACCCTGGTGTCTTGGCCAGTGTTGGGTTAATTATCCGTATAGCCTGGGTGTGTGGGTTACACTATCTAGGTCTTTGTTGGTACACTTTGCCATATTTAAACAGCCATGAGATTGTCTAATGAGAAATTTCTCATTGTAGCTCTGTTGTTACTACACAATTGCATTTGCAAAACTCGTGAATGTCAGGCTTAGTGAAAGGTTGCTGTGTCTTCATTCTGCCGTAGTATCATACATCTTGTAGCTTCTGGAAAACTCCAATGTGTCTGTGTAAGACTGAGAGTGAAAAAAGCAAGTGCTTAAGGATGAGGGGCTCAGGTGTATTCTGGGAAGACCCTAGAATACACCGGGAGACCCCCACTGTCTTCATCTGTCCTTCATCTTTGCCCAGTTGTTTCATTAGTTGCTGAGGGAGAAATTACTATGATAATGGAATTCACTGCTACTGTGGTTAATTCTGTATTTCCTTCATGCATTTTTTAAAAAGATTTATTTATTTTTATTACAAAGTCAGATATACAGAGAGGAGGAGAGATAGAAAGATCTTCCATCCGATGATTCACTCCCCAAGTGAGCGCAATGGCCGGTGCTGGACTGATCTGAAGCCAGGAGCCAGGAACTTCTTTCTGGGTATCCCACACGGGTGCAGAGTCCCAAGGCTTTGGGCCATCCTCAACTGCTTTCCCAGGCTACAAGCAGGGAGCTGGATGGGAAGTGGAGCTGCCGGGATTAGAACCGGCGCCTGTATGGGATCCCAGTGCACTCAAGGCGAGGACATTAGCTGCTAGGCCATGCTGCCGGGCCCCCTTCATGCATTTTTATCCTTTATTATTCCACAGATCATTTGGCATCCTAATCATGATGAAATATCTTTCTTAATTTGGCAATGCTATTTTGTCTTCTTCGGACATTGTTTAGTGCCTTCTGCATTTTACACGACACAGCTTTATCCGTGCATGTTGAGAGCTGACATGTAAATAACATGTAGCTCAATCTTGGCTTTTTAGCTACTCAAAGCCTTTGACTTTCATTATTTAGTTCAGAAATATTGAGAGCAATCATTGCCATAGTTGTACTAAGGTGTCCATTTTAACATTTTCTGTTGTGTATGACTGGGTTTTTGTTCTGCTCATTCCTTTTTTTTTTTCAGGACATTGGATATTTTTGATTACTCTAGAATTTCATTTTAGCAATTTAAGCTTCTTTTTTTTAAGACTGCCATGTCAGGGCTTTCAGTTTCATAAAATCTGTCCATTCCATAAATCATCATATAAATTGAGCAAATGCTGGAAGATTCCAGAATGTCTTCCTCCTAGCTGCTGACTCCACCCCACACTGCCTGCAGAGCCAGCAGAGTTCAGGGTGTTAATTCTACCCAGGTCCTTTGTGATCCTGAATTTAGGTTTAGGACCCGTGCTGGGGATGGGTTAAGACTGGAGCCACATCTGAATTTGTTCCTGCAGTGTCACGTGTGTTCAGCCTCATCTATCTGCCTCCCCCATCCTGTGCAGACCATGGGCCCGTTGGCGCAAGGGAAGGCTCAGCTCCCTCAGTGAAGCCAGCCCTTGTCTCAGGTCTCCCAGACCTCCTTCCAGAAAATTGTGCAGATTTCCAGGAGACAGCCAAGTGGGTCACTGGCATGGGGAGGCCAGGCCCAGGGGCTGGGACCAAAAGCCCATCCTGTGAGTGGGCAGGTTTCTGTGTAGTCAGCCCAGTTCCCTAGTCCAGACCCTGCCTGGGGAGCACTCAGTCTGTATGGTGCCCTGCCCAAGATGTGTGCAGATCTGTGAGTTGTAGTTCTGGGCAGTTGCTGGCTGCCTGGAGTGGCTTTCATGGATCCACTTGTGTGTTCCCTGAGGCAGGGACAAGGTCAGGGTGACATGGCCCATAGAGGCCAGCCAAGAGCTCCAGCAAGATGGGCTCGAGCTGGGAAGGTTCTGGGAGGAAGGCATGACCTGGGTCAGGGCTGTGGCTCTCTGTGGGCTTTGCCTGGGCACATGCTCACTTCTAAGCCAGGTTAGTGACCAGTTAGTGCCACACAGGTGTTCCTCATGCTCGACTTTGTCCTTTCCTTGGTCTAAAGGTTTTTGTCACAGCTGTTCTGAGCAAGGTGTTGAGGCCTCACTCAGGCCAGATCCCCATGTGGGTGAGGGCCCTCCAGGGAGTGTGAGGGCAGCAGTACCCTTCCCAGGGACATCTCGTTGCTCCCAGCAGGCCCAGGTATCTCTCCTGGTGGTCTTTGCTGGTTAGTGGGCTGAGCTCATGGGGACCCCAGGACAGAAAGGGGTGGCTCCTGGCAGGGCACATGCCTCACCCGAGACTAGTCCAACCCGGAGTCCTTGTGATAAGGGTTCAGCAGACAGCTGTGTGTGGAGGCAGACAGAGCCAGAGGCAGGGTTGAGTGCCCATTACCCACCCCTGGAGGAGGACATGGTCAGGAGCCTGGAGAGTGAGGGTGGGACTGCCTTCGAGGGAGCCCATTCATCACTGGCACCCAGGCAGGCTTGCAGGACTCCTGATCTGTCCAGCTGGGTGCAGGCTTGGGGCTCGGTACCAGGCTGCAGGAGGTGATGGCCATGGGTGTCGTGTCCCCTCTGCAGCTCAGTTTGCTCAACTGGCCCAGCTGAACCCCCAGGAGCGACTAAGCAGGGAGACGGCCCTGCAGCAGAAGCAGGTGTCCCTGGAGGCCTGGCTGCAGCGCGAGGCCCAGACCCTGCAGCAGTACCGCGTGGTGAGTGGCTCTGCGTCCTGCTCCCAGGGTGGAACATCCTGGTGGGGGCTGTTGGAACCAGCCAGGGGGACAAGGCCGGGATGAGAGCAGGGCCCTGGAGAGCCGGTGGCTGGATCCTTCTCTCTGGGATGCTCTGGGTCAGCGCAGGTGTGGAGCAGGAGGTGTCGGGCCTTGTGTCTCTGGGCATCCTGCAGGCTGGCCTGGGGGCCCAGCAGGGCTGCTGTCCACCGTCCCGCAGGAGCTGGCTGAGAAGCATCAGAAGACCCTGCAGCTGCTGCGGAAGCAGCAGACCATCATTCTGGATGACGAGCTGATCCAGTGGAAGCGGCGGCAACAGCTGGCCGGCAATGGTGGGCCCCCCGAGGGCAGCCTGGACGTGCTGCAGTCCTGGTGAGGCCAGGGTGCGGGCTGGGCTGGTGGAAGGGGCAGACCCCTCTGCCCACTGGGTCAGCCTGTGTGGCAGGCCCCTCTGTTGGGGACAACTTGCGTCTCAGCAGGGCCCATTTGTGACATAGACATTAGTCTCAAAGTCCTTGCCAGCTTCCCTAGTGAGGGCGTCTTGTCCTGAGGGGGGCCTGGCCAGGTGTGCAGAGCTCTGGGCTGCTTGGTCCTGGCCTGTTTCCTGTGCTTCTGGTAGGCAGTCAGCCTGCTCTGAAGCAGGAAAAGGAGGGGCGGTTACAGCACAGACTCTCCTGGGAGTGTGGAGCTGTATAATGGCACAGAGTCTCCCCCAACGGGAGTCCTCCAACTGCAGTCTGGGAAGTGGGGGAGCCCTAGCATACCTGTGGTCCTGGGCTGCCCCCAGGTGTGAGAAGCTGGCCGAGATCATCTGGCAGAACCGGCAGCAGATCCGCCGAGCCGAACACCTGTGCCAGCAGCTGCCCATCCCCGGCCCCGTGGAGGAGATGTTGGCCGAGGTCAATGCCACCATCACAGACATCATCTCAGCCCTGGTGACCAGGTGACCGCTGTCCCTTGGCCATGCCCCGTGGGCAGGGTGGCTCCCCACCTGGGAGGCAGGGGTGCTGGGCAGCCTGGGTGTCTGTTCCAGTCCTGGCTCGCCCTGCCTCACATCCCTCCCCACCCTGTCAGCTGTGACTGTGGCTTCTCTGGCCCCATTTCTATGGCAGACACCACAAGCGGTGTCCTCAGGGCCTGCTCCCCTCCTGCCCTTTTCCCAACCTCTTCCCTGGGGTCTCCCTGAGAGCTGGACCTGGGCAGTGTGCCCTTCTTTCATCTGCTGAGCCCCAGTGGAGGGAGGGAGGGAGGAGCCCCACCCTGCCCTGCCCTGCCCCAGAGAGGCCTCTCCCTGGAGCGTGTCTCACGGCCTGCGGGCTCCCCGTGTCCCCTGCAGCACCTTCATCATTGAGAAGCAACCCCCTCAGGTCCTGAAGACCCAGACCAAGTTTGCAGCCACCGTGCGCCTGCTGGTGGGCGGGAAGCTGAACGTGCACATGAACCCCCCGCAGGTGAAGGCCACCATCATCAGTGAGCAGCAGGCCAAGTCCCTGCTCAAGAACGAGAACACCCGCAAGTAAATGTCCCCCCGACTGTTACTGTTCCCTGTATTCCTCCTGGCAGGCTGCTATAGGTGTGGCCTCTGTGCTGGTGCCATTGGTGTCGGGACAACACAGTTCCCCTCCCTTGGGTCCCCTGCCTCACTTGCAGGTGTGTCCTCCTGGTCCCAATTCACACTTTGTCCTTAGCTACTATTGTCCTCCTGCCCTGATGCCCTTCCTGGACCCTGCCTGTGTCCAGCACATAGTAGTTGGCAGTTGTCCAGGCCTTGTGAGCGAACCTTGAGGAGACACACACAGCCTGACTTTGTCCCTACCCAACCTGGGTGCCCCTGGAGGCCTACAGATTTTGTGAAATGCCAGCCCCCATAGGGAGTCTCAGGCTGCAGTTGGATTGGAGGTAGCTGGCCAGAGGGGCTGGAGAAGGAGGACTTTATATCGAAAGATAACTTGGGCCGTGTCCTGGAGGCTGAGGCACAAGAAGGCTGCACGGCACGAGGCCCCGGTGGTGGGCTAGGGGTCAGGGTAGGCTGTCAACCAAGTGCGATAGCATGTGAGGGACGGGTGATCTGGGCTCCTGGGCTCCTGCATCCTATCCCTGGGAGGCATTCAGCACGTGCAGGCCATGTGACTGGCAGATTGTGCTTTGATGGAGGCATTCTAGGTTCTGCTTTTAGAACTTGAGGCTTAGCTGGGGAGGCTGAGAATTGCCCTCTGGCATCTGACACAGTGGCTGTGATGCCCTGTGGGTTCCCCACATCAAAGTGTCTCGGTGGTATAGATGCCAGCTTCTCTTCTGAGTTAAGCTTCTCACTTCTGTGCACCCCAAGAGGCAACAAGTGATGGCCCAGCCATGGGGGAGGCTTGGGCTGAGTTTATGCTTGCTGCCTTCAGCCCATTCCAACCCAACATGGACATTTGAAGAGTGAGCTAGCAGATGACAGATCTGATGGGCTGTCTCTTTCTCTTTCAAATAAATAACATTGAAAAATAAAGAAGGTAGTGCCAGAAAGTGGAGAGTGAAGAAAGCAAACTGAGAGAGGCTACCTTGTTGCTTGGATGGGTGAGGGCAGAGCAGGGAGTGGAAGCTACACCTGAGTGGGGCTGGGTGACGGATCAGGGATGACGAAGGGACAGAAGGAGCGAGTGCCAGGGTCTGAAGTCGCAGTTAGGCACTGAACTTGGCAAGTTCAGTGGGTGGCAAGGCCTACGTCCCGAGCGAGGGGAGGGGAACTCAGTATGGCAGGGTGGTGGGCTTGGTCATGAAGTCCTGCCAGGCCATGGTCATGGCTCTTCTTTCAAACACACCAGAAGCTCCCAGCTGCCCCATGAGGTCCCCTTGCTGCCCTTTCTGTCAGAAGAATTTCCAACTCAGCCTTTGGAGACATTGCCTTGGGTGCTGTCTGTTGGGGTGACGAGGCACGGGCTGGTGTGGGGGAGGGAGGCTCCGGCCCCCTGCCAGGACTCAGCTGGGGCCCTCTCTCTGCTGGCAGCGAGTACAGCGGCGAGATCCTCAACAACTGCTGTGTCATGGAATACCACCAAGCCACGGGCACCCTCAGTGCCCACTTCAGGAACATGGTGAGGCCTGGGCCTGGCCTCGGAGGGGACGGGGCCCTAAGCGGAGCTGCTCCCTCCAGCCTCCCAACTCTGCATCCGTATCCCTGCAGTCCCTGAAGCGGATCAAGCGTGCCGACCGGAGGGGCGCCGAGTCGGTGACGGAGGAGAAATTCACTGTGCTCTTCGAGTCGCAGTTCAGCGTGGGCAGCAATGAGCTGGTGTTCCAGGTGAAGGTGAGACTGCCACCTGGCCCGCCCTGAGGCTCACCTGCAGCTCTGTGGGAGGCCACGTGGATGCTTGGAAACCCAGGGTCCCTGTGAGGCCAACAGAAAACCTGCTGTCCCTCCATGGTGGGGATTGTGGGTGACGGATGGACTGGGTTTGGGAGGGGAAAGGAGGAAGGAAGAGGGGGGCTGATGGTGGCTGCTTCCCTCCCCACCTCCATTCCTTTGGTTCCCTACAGACCCTGTCCCTACCCGTGGTTGTCATTGTCCACGGCAGCCAGGACCACAATGCTACTGCCACCGTGCTGTGGGACAACGCCTTTGCTGAGCCGGTGAGGCCCCGTGGGACCCCAGCCTGGCTCCTCTGGCCCTAGGATACCCTACTCAAGGAGGATGCCAGCTTCAGCCGGCCTTCCTCAGCCCTGCCCAGAGCAGGGCCAGCGGCAAACACACCCTGAGTCCCTGGTTCTGGCCCTGAGCTCCTCAGGCGGGTGGGCTTGGACCTGGAGTTTGGCTGTCTCCCTCACCTCTGGCCTGGGGCAGCCCGGCAGGCCCATGCAGCTGCCTCTTCGGCCTTGCTTTTCTTTCCCCCTAGTGTTTGTGTCTCGGTCCTTTCCCCCTCTCCCCCACTCCATTCTATGGTATCTGAGCACCTTGCCTTCAGGGTGTGTGTGCTGGCTGCTGGCACGTTCCTTCTCCCTCAGTCCGCCACCTTTGCCTGTCTCCTCCCCACTCCTAGGGCAGGGTGCCATTCGCCGTGCCCGACAAAGTACTATGGCCGCAGCTGTGCGAGGCCCTCAACATGAAGTTCAAGGCTGAGGTGCAGAGCAACCGGGGCTTGACCAAGGAGAACCTGGTGTTCCTGGCGCAGAAGCTCTTCAACAGCAGCAGCAGCCACCTGGAGGACTACAGCAGCATGTCTGTGTCCTGGTCCCAGTTCAACAGGGTGAGGCCCGGGCCACATCTAGGTCAGGCAGCTGTGCCTCTCTCCTGCTGTTAGGGGGAGGGGCTTGGACCCCCAAGAAGCACAGGCAAGGGCTGCGTGGGGGTGTGACAGCCTGAGCAGCAGGACCCCGGGGAACCTGGAGGGGGGCATCAGCACTCTTAGGTTCCAGTGCTAGATCTGTACTCGTGCCCAGTTTACTCATTTGTAAAATAGGGAGAAGGGGCAGGAATGACTTTGGAAATCGGTCCAGCTGGACATATTATTAAAATGTAGGTGAGGGCCCAGTACAATGGCTCAATTGGGTCGTCTTCCACCTCCAAGTTCTAGGAACCCATATGGTCACTGGCTGATTCATGTCCCAGGTGCTCCGCTTCTCATCCAGCTCCCTGCTATGGCCTGGGAAAGCAGTTGAAGATAGTTCAAAGCCTTGGGACCTTGCACCTGCATGGGAGACCTGGAGGGAGCTCCTGGCTCCTGGTCCCTGGCTTCAGATTGGCTCAGCTCTAGCCATTGTGGCTGTGAACCAGCTGATGGAAAACCACTCTCTGTATATCTGCCTTTACAGTAAAATTAAATAAGTTTATTTTTTTTAATGTAGGTAAAAGCCAGCCAGAGAGCAAGCAGGATCTCCTGCCTGCTGGTTCACATCCCCAGTGCCTGCTGGGCTGGTCCAAAGCCAGAAGGCTGGGCCTTAGCCCGAGTCTCCCCCAGGGGCAGCAGGGAAGCCAGTCCATGGGCCATCACCCACCATTTCCGTGGACATTAGCAGGAAGCTGGGATCAGAAGTGGCACTGAGACTTGGACCCTGGCACTCCAGTGTAGTGTGTGGGCACCCCAGGTGGGATCATAGCTATGGTACCCTATGCCACCCCTGGCCTGGAAGGGTTCTTGCTCCTCCTGCTCCCACCAAGGGGAGTATTAGGGAATCCTGTGTCTTAGAAACATGGGACAGGAGACCCCTGCGATACGAGTGGAGCTGTTGATTTATGGAGTGCTGGGGTCAAGGGTGGAACTAGTGGGATGGACCCTGGGAGCAGGCCTGAGTTGGGGCCAGGGGGGCTTGTGAGCTTGCTGGGCCCCGCAGCCCTGACCTGGGGTCTCCGGGCCTGTAGGAGAACCTGCCCGGCTGGAACTACACCTTCTGGCAGTGGTTTGACGGGGTCATGGAGGTGCTGAAGAAGCATCACAAGCCCCACTGGAATGACGGGTGAGGGCCAGGTCAGCCTTCGAGGGCCGGCACAGGGCACCAGGGCTACTGGCCCGGCGTGACCCACTTGCGTCCTGTCGTCCCAGGGCCATCCTCGGCTTTGTGAACAAGCAGCAGGCCCACGACCTGCTCATTAACAAGCCTGACGGGACCTTCCTCCTGAGGTTCAGCGACTCAGAAATCGGGGGCATCACCATTGCCTGGAAGTTCGACTCCCGTAAGTGCCCACTTCCACTGCCCCCCGCCCGCTCCCTGTCAGGTGCAGGGACCCCATTGCCTGTCTCCTTCTTCCCCGCTTAAGAGGTGCCCATCAGGAAAGGTAGGGGCTGGGCTCACAGTGCAAGCAGCATGATGCTCAGAAGTGGGTTCCTTCGTCCCTTTTTGGAGCACCTGCTCCACTAGCCAACCCTCCACCCCCCAGCCCTGCCATACACGCACATAGGCTCCAGACCCACAGGGCAAGGTCTCAGCTGGCATCTGTTGCTCCCCCCACTTGCCATGCCTGGCCATGTTGGTGTCTGCTTTCCTGGCTGGTGGGAAGGCAGGTTCCTGTGTGAATTTCCTTCCCTGTGCCCAGATCCCACGGGAGGGGGTCCCTGGGCAGGCCAGACCCTGGCCCTCTGTCCTCTGAGGCTGGTGGGAACAGGAGTCTCCTTTTCCCAGCTGATCGCAACCTGTGGAACCTGAAGCCGTTCACCACACGTGATTTCTCCATCCGGTCCCTGGCTGACCGCCTCGGGGACCTGAGCTATCTCATCTATGTGTTTCCTGACCGCCCCAAGGATGAGGTCTTCTCCAAGTACTACACCCCTGTGCTTGGTGCGTCCTGCCCCCTCCCCTGCCTCTCGCCCCATCTTGGGTTCTCTCAATAATTGCCCAGAGACACGAGGGAGAGATCTTCCATCTGCTGACTCACTCCCCAAATGGCTGCACAGCCAGGGCTGGTCCAGGCTGAAGGTGGGAGCCAGGACCCATCTAGGTGTCCCATGAGGGTGGTAGGGATCCAGCTATCTGAGCCATCACCTGCTGTCGCCAGGGATGCATTAGCAGGAGCAAAGCTGGGTCAAGCACTCAAGGGAGCCCCACAGTGCCTCCTCACACTACAACGGATGCCTGGCTCCCGTGAGTCTGGGGTCTTGCAGTGAGGGAAGGGACGTCAGGTTCCTCCGACAGACAGGGAAAGCAGCCCTGGCCCTGCTGGGTCTGCCAGGGGTCAAGCGCAGTGCAGTCTACCTCTGCTCCCCTGGAGGAAACAGGCAGGGTGTGGATGGGGTGGGAGGAGCTAGGATAAGCCACACCCACAGAGCATCCTCTGTTTCTGCCAATTGGTCACTCTCCCAGCTCCTTGGGGTTGTTGCGGGAAGCAAAATGAATAGGTTTCTTCTCCCAAAGCTGTGGTGGGGTTTGCATCTTGTGAATTCTGCCTGGGAGGGGGTGCAGAGAAAGCAGCTGCCCAGAAAGGGGTGAGACCTGTGCTGGGAGCCTGTGGAACCTCAGGTGGGCCCTCAGCAGATGTTTATTGGGGCTTGGGAAGTCTCACCCCTGCTAAGTAAGGCTCCAAGTTGATGGTGGGTGGGAGATGGGCGGAGCTTGGGCAGCTCAGGCTGTCTCTCACTTTCCCGCAGCCAAGGCCGTGGACGGGTACGTGAAGCCGCAGATCAAGCAAGTGGTCCCTGAGTAAGTGTGCAGTGTCCCCTTGGGGCCTCCTCCCACCCGCCCCTTCCATCCCCCCCGGTCCAGCCTTCCCTTTTGCCCACAGACCTGGCTCAGCCATCAGAGGGGGTAAAGCTGGGCCCTGTGTCCTGCCTGACCCAGAGAAGGAGGCCATTGGCCTGGGCCCCTCCTCCGGGTTGGGCAGCCCGCGGCCTCCCTGGCAGCTGAGCTCTGTCCTGCTTCTCTCGCAGGTTTGTGAATGCATCTGGAGAAGCAGGGGCCAACGCCACCTACATGGACCAGGCTCCCTCCCCGGCTGTGTGTCCCCAGACACATTACAACATGTACCCCCAGAAGTAAGTTGGGTTCTAGGAGGCGGAGGGTTGCTGTGAGAAAGAGGCTGTGCACCCATAGCGGGCGGGCCCAGGGCAAGGAATTCCTGTGTGGGCCGTGGGTGGCTGGGGCTGGGCACCCGGGAGGGAGCTGCAGGGAGACCAACAGGCTGGAAACCCCAGGTGCCAGCCCTGATTCCTGGGGGCATGAGCAAGTTTCTGAACAAAGCCGAGCCTCCCTATAAAATGGGGTGAATGCCCACCTCGCTCTTCCCGGGAATGGTGTTGTGCATGGTGGGCAGGTGGGTGAACTCACTGGCCCAGCCACTGTGACAAGGCCGACAGGGCAGGGAACTCCCCAAGAGGATAATGAAATACCAAGAGATGCACATGGATGCTGAGCTGGAACTGCTGCTGTCTTGTGAGGCACACAGCTGGTCCCTAGGATGCTGGTTGAAGTAGGGAGCAGACTGGGTTCCCTGAGACATGCCAGCCCCTATGATGTCTCCTCTGTCCACAGCCCAGACCCTGTGTTGGACCAAGAAGGAGAGTTCGACTTGGACGAGACCATGGATGTAGCCCGACACGTGGAGGAGCTCCTACGCCGCCCCATGGACAGCCTCAATCCACGCCTGTCCCCACCTGCTGCCCTTTTCACGGCAGCCAGGGGCTCCCTGTCCTGAGTAGGGACATCTTACCTGCTCTTGGAAGCAGTCTCCGATGGGAAGGGTTCGGTTCCGCTGTGCCCGGTGATGCCAGTGTAGGCAGGACGTGGATGCGTGTGCACGCATGTGTGGCGTAGAGGTGGGCCTGCCTCACTCTACCTGCCCTGGCTCTGTGGTTGCCATGGCAGCAGCCTCTGATAACCACCCCCTCCCCAGTCCATCTGTCCAGGAGGCCGAGCTTCCTTCTTGGCAGGTGCTTTGCACCGGCAACCCTACTCCTTGTGTGTCCAGTTTGTGCAGCAATGTTTGAATACATGAAATTCATTCAAGGGCAGGGGATGGAACAGCTCCAGGCTGGCTTAACCTTTGAGTGAGCAGCTTTGCCCTCCCCAGTGTGCATGTGTGCAGACGCGTGTGTGAGCGTGCATCTGGCCACAGACACACACAGTGGTCTGATTCTCTCCCCTGGAGGGAGGTTGGGGTTCACTTCCACGTATCTTTTATACTTTGGTATAAAAGTCTGCGCTGACTGCAGACTTGCTGCTCCCCCTCTGCCCTCTGAGAGCTGGCCCAGGCCATGGCCAGAGCCCCTGTGGCCAACACAGCTTCTTGCCTAGGGACATGAGCTTTGAGTCTATGATGTGGTTACCAACTGCCCAACCCTGTGCCCTCTTTATCCTTGCTGTGCCCCCTCCTGTCCACTCAGCCTTCTTTCCTGTCCATTTGTACCCTTGCTTGTAGAGGAGAAAGGGGCAGGGCTAGGGCATGGTGCGTGAACAGAGGCCTAGAATGTGCGGGGTGGGGACAGGGAGGCCCAGCAGACACCTGCTGTATGTGCGGGAACACAGGGAGGGGCGAGCCAGGCTGGGAGTGGGGAGCGGCCTCCTGCTACTCTGTGTGGCAGGCTGTGGCCCGAGCCCTCGCTGTCCTGGGCCTCAGGACGCCCGGGGGGGTGGGGAGGAGAAAAGGGGTTCAGCTGTACTTTGTACATAGACTTGCAGTTGTGTAAACAGTGTTTCTGAATTAAAGTTTTTTTTTTTTTTTTTTTTCATACATTGGCTGCTCCATTCCTGGCTTGGGGATCTGCCTGTGAGGTGGAGACCTGGGAGCTGGGGTGTTTGTGTCCTGTCCCGCCTGTGTGGCTGATGCTGTCATTTGTAGCCTGCAGCTGCCATGCAACCTTCTCTGGCACAATTTTGAGGGTGAGCACCACCCTGGAAAGCTGTCAGTGTACTCAGAAGACTGAAGAGCTTGGCTAGGGGCTTAGAGCCAGGGAAGGCAGGAATGACTGCGGGCAGGGACCCAGCAAAGCTGGGTGCAGGCGGCCATTATCAGCTGCTGCTGGGAGCATTCCTGAAGCCAGCAGCTGAGGACCTGCTGGGCAGGGGGATTCCAGTGCTTCCCAGCCAAGAGCAGCAGGAGTGGCCGGCAGCCCTGTGTTCCTGGTCTCCTCCCAGAGACCAGCAGGGGGCATCATCCCACTGCTGCCACTGGGGGGCCTCCCTTGGGTGGGAGCTCTCAGCAAAGAGAGAGGGAAGGGCCTGGAGCTGGCATCCTGCCCCAGGAAGGCGCAGGGGCCTAGAGCATTTTCCCTACGTCCCTAATCTGCTCCATCTCTGTAGGAGGAAGCAGCTCATCCCCCATGTCAGTCTCCGCTCTATCTCCATGGCACTTGGGCTAGTCGAAGTGGGAGTGCTGAGTGGGCGCTGGGGTACAGGTGCCGCTGCCCTGGATTATCACCCCGGGCTGTTGGGGGCTGGGCCATGGCAGCAGCCAGGAAGGTATCTGCAGTGATCCCCCTCTACCTCTGAGGGAACTGAAGGTCATGCGATAATGGAGCCAGTGTTGGAGTGGGGGCTGGGAGCAGCCACACCCCAACCCCCCTTAGGTGGCTTATCAGAGCCCAGGCAGGGCCAGGGAGGGGTGTGGCTCTACTTCCACCTGCTGGTTCCTGGACCTGAGGACCCCCCTCGTGTCCCTCAGGCTGCCGGATGGGGGCCTGGACCGAAAAGGGACGTTCTATCTGGTACAGACAGCACTGCCGGGCTCTCAGACGCTTCCTATATAACTTTTATTTCTGGAAGTTAAAGTAGATACAGCAATATACAAAAAAAAAAAAAAAAAAGGAAAACCCCACAATAATATAAATTTTTACACTATTTAGTACATATTAGAATTTGAGTGCAGTGGCTAGGACAGCAGCTTATAAACCACTCATAGATGAAGCGATCAATAGAAATCCCTCGGCTGATCTGGGGCTGGGCAGGGGCAATTGAGAGAGAGCAGGCAGGGCCCGGGGAAGGGAGAGGTGAGAGAAAGGCCCAGCTCCTCTCAGAACTTCTGCTACAATCAGAGCGAACCCAGATATGCGTGCTACCCAAGCGCGGGAACTCGACAATGTTTGTTCCTGAGAAACACAAAATATTAAGCCTGGGTCCTCAGGATTTATGCCCCTCGTATGCCCCGAGTTTCATCTTTTCTAGTTTGTGGCGGTAGGCAGTCAGCTTATTATGTAGGAAAAGTGTTGCTGTGGAGGGGAGGGCTCCGTACAACGAATCAGCCCCCCTCCACCCCCAAGCAGGAGGACGGGATGTCCCTGGGCAAGCCCTGTTCGTCTTGGAGAGCAGGCCCTCACCCTTCAGTTCAGGAGTCATCAAGTGTGGAGCTAACAGTTCCACAGAAACCTCTGGATCTGATAAGCCCTCCGAGCAGAGCACACTGCATGTTCACAGGCACAGCGGAGGCCACAGCAGGTGCAGGTAAGCCCCCACCCGCCCTGGGGAGGCTGAGTGCAAAACACTCCCGTGGAGGGCTTGGTTGGGAGGAGGTCTCTGCCCTGTGCTAGCCAAGTGAAGAAGGCTTTGCAGGCGCCGTGGGAAGTCGGTGAGAAACTGGGCCAAGAACTGTATTCCCTGAGCTCAGCCAGACACTTGGCTAGGGCCTCACCATCACCCTGACAACTTTGGCCTGCCCCTCTCATTGGGGTCCTCAGAGCAGGGTTCCCGAAGCAAGCAGGACAAAGAGCCTGGAAGCCCAGGGCAGGCGTGGGCTTGGGGTGGGCCGGGCGAGGAGCCAGGCCATCCCAGTCCTGCAAAGGCACCCAGAGTCATGGCGAGGCTCTGTCTGCAGCAGGGTGGCAGTCTGGGGAGGGGGACAGATCTTATGCCCCCTCTGCCTAGCTTCACCAGCTAAAAGGCCAATGTCACAGAGGAAAATTAAAATCTGTTAATTAAAAAATAAAAGCCTATAATGGGTAGGTTCTCTTTAAAATCTACCTGTGTCAAAACCAAAGGCTATTAAGCCACAGCTTCAGATATCTTCAAAAAGTGATCAGAAGCCCGTCTCAGAGTTTTTATAAATTATCAGCCCACAGAAAACCAATGCTTAGAGCACCGAGGAGGCTGGGAGCTGAATTAAATACACAAAAGCTACATTGCTCACAAAATGTGACAATTTGGGTTTCTTTGCCCTTTCAGTACGATTATTTCATTTAGAAAGTGGCCTGGGGTATTCAGGCAGTCCACTCGGACATTAGCAATGGGCCAAAATGCAATGCCAGGAGGACGTATCTAGGGGTGGACAGGGCGCTGGCTGGCATAAATAGGCAGGAGGTGCCACAGGCACCAGGAGGCACTTGTCTGACAGCGGTGGTGACAGAAAGCGGCTGAGAAAGGAGGGCAGGGAGACAGAACACGGCAGCCGCTTCCTCTCGCTCCCGCCAGCCGCCCACTCCCACCTCCTCACATGCTGTCCTCCGAGAACACGTTCTTATTTGCATCTAGATGAAAGCATAGCACCCACATTCACACATCTCTCTATTGCAAAAAAAAAAAAAAAAAAAAGTGCCCAGATTGCTCAAAGATAGCAGAAGTAGATTACAAAAAAAATCTGGAACCACAGAGTTAGGAGTTTCCGACACCCTGGGCTTTGGCTGGCTGAGGGGCGGCGGGGCGCGGGGAGGTGCCTCAGGCATGGCGGCAGCTTCCGTCCTCAGCTCCTCACATGGGGGAGGTAGCGCACTCCGAGGTCAACTCCATGTCAAACGTGAGGGACTCTGCGGGACACACAGGCAAGAAGGCCGTCAGCCGTGTGACCCTCCGCTGGCGGGCGCCCTCCGTACCCCCCTTCTGCTGTGGAGTGGAGGACAAGGCTCCTGGCTCCCTCATGCAGTCAGGGTTGGAGAAGGCCCTGTTTCCCCGCCTACTCTCAGGGCCCTCCCTCCACCAAGGTTCCCATTTCTGCCAGTTTTCCAGGATGGATGGAGGGTCTCTGCTAACACGACTGAGTGGGAGGGTGGGTGGGTGTGTTGGGGCTCCTGCAACATGGCTAACTCACCCTGAGGGGTGTTGGCCTTGTGAAAAGCTCACTTGAGAGACTCAGTGAGGACAAAAAGAATGTACGGGCTGGTGTCGTGGCACTGTGGATTAAGCCACTGCTTGTGACATCGCCATCCCCTTGGAGTTGGAGACCTGGCTGCTTCACTTCCAACCCAGCTCCTTCCTAGTATGTCTGGAAGAACAGCGCAAGGTGGGCCGAAGGAGAGGTGGATGGAAGTGCCAGGTTCCTGGCTTCAGCCTGGACTAGCTTAGGCAGTGGAGACCATCTGGGGAGTGAATCAGAAGATGGAAGATCTCTCTCCCTCTCTCTCTGTAACATGTCATTGAAATAAATAAAAATAAATCTTTAAAAAAAATGGAGAAAGATTTCACTGTTTCTTACATGTTGCGATAACAGGAGGTTGGGATTTATTGGACCAATATATGCCCCTGTTTTCTTTTTCCATGAAGATGTGTATGCTGTTTCTAACAGTATACAGACAGTGCTACCCTGAAACTTCCTCCTGCCAATCCAGGTGACCCACGAACGGGGGAGGGGGGCTGGGGGGAGTGGAGAGTGGGCCGGGCACCCCCTAGTACTCACCAAACTGCCCTCCTGCCGAGGGCTCTGCACCGTCACCATTATTTCCAAACTGCATCAATGAATCTAAAGTGCGGGGGGACATCGGCAGGTCAATGGTATTGCTGCAGGTCGTTCTGTAGGAAACGGGCAGCGGCAGGAGGGGAGAGGGCCGGGTTGACAAGACACAATGGAGGGGAAAAAAAAAAAAAAAAGAACAGAACACACACACACAAGCCATCAAACTCTGGTCTCCAACAGAAAAAAAAAAAAATCAAAGCTCAAGCTTCTTCGACACACGAGGTCACTTTGAGTCTTACTCAGAGCCCACGAGCACCCGCCCTTCTCCAGGACACCTCTCACCTGCTTTCCTATTCCCGGGAGGCAACTGAGGACATTAGAAATAAACGCAAAATCAGGGCAGGGGAGCCACTTACGGTGTCACACAGATGAACTTGGTCTTCAGGTATGGGGCAGCACCTGGGAGGGGAAAAAAAGAAAAAAGAAAACAGGGCCTTATTGACCATGACCTCATTCTGTGTTCAGGGCAGGAAGAAGCTATCTCTCGCCAGAGTGGACTGGCCACACACTCCATCCTGTGTCCAGATGGTCTGGAAACTCCCAACCCTGAACCTCAGGGCTGCCTCCCAGGGCCCTGCCTTGTGCCCTGCCCATGTGGAGCCCATGGTAGGGGTGGCTCTGCAGTTCAATGCCCTGGAGCTTTCCTGAGCTGCAAGCAGGCTTTCCTGCAGGCTCTTGGTCCCCCGGAGCCTAGACCACGAAAATGGTCACCTGTCTCGGCATGGTCCGGTGGCGCTATGCTGGCCTGGTGACTCTTAGGTAACCCGGCCTTTGGGTGCACAGCATCACCCTTTGGGGGAGCCGCCTGTAGGCTCAGCCAGTGAACAAGAGGGCCAGGCTCAGGCTCCTCAGCAATGGTAACAGACCCATGGCAAGGCAACTTCTCTTTCACACGTATAAAATAAGAGGAAAAACAAAGTGGCGCTGGCCTCCTGTGACCCCTGTCATCAATGATTCTTCTTCTGTAGTTTAAAACATGAGGACTGGAATAAATGAATGTCAGATGCTTACACCAAGGACTCAAAGCCCTTTGGGAGTGCCAGGATGAATTCTGGGGTCC